ATTACATATAATAAAAGTGTCTTCAACACACCTTGCATAATAAACAATTTAATCGATCACTCCTCCAGGTTCAGTCTTTCTAAGGTCAGCCATGAACAGATTTGTTAAGATATAACCAAGAGGACTTCCCGTTGCTATATGATCAGTTTGACGGTATATGATGTTGTCGATTTGAAACTGAACATCTTTTGTACACATAATTTGTTGAGTTTGAGTTCTGATACTTGTAGAGGTTGGAGGTCAGATTGCTCGCAAATTATGTCTATGGTTTCAAGAAGCAATATTTTGGTAAATAAAAGTGTTGCATCAAAAGAAGCCATCGACTCAACAGGAGGTTAAGCTTTGACGAACTAGTTCTGAATTTTCCACTAGCTAGTGTGCAACTTCATGGCAAGATGAATTAACCATTGACAAAATAGCCATAAGCTGGACGTCATGTTTTTGGATTTTTGGTAGGCTATACATATGCATCAATCGAGATCCAAGAGACCTTAGATGATTGTAATTACAGTTTTTAATAATTTTCTTCTTCAACAGCTCCGTGAATATGTTTGTGACTCGTTTTTTATTGAGTCCGTTGAGTCTTTGTTGTATTTGTCGACCGTAAATCTCAGATTGTCGTTTAGCATAAACTTCACTTTAGTGATGTAATCAGATACGTTCATACATGAGCCTTTGTCTTGTTATAAAATCATTACCTCATTCTTTATAGGTTGTAAGCAACTGATTAGGACATAACAAAATAAAATGATTTCACGTTATCCTTCTCTATTTTTGTTTTTGAACGTGCCATTTTGTGACATTTCCAAGGAAATTTTTATTCTGTATATATACGATTGAGTTGTGTGCTTGTTGTTGTTCGCGCTTCTGGCTGCTTATGGAATATACTTTTTCTCATCTTGAACCTGGCCTTCTCTCTCTAGTTAGCAGGGGTGGGACGCATTGGAATTACTTACTTACTTACTTACGCCTGTTACTCCCAATGGAGCATAGGCCGCCGACCAGCATTCTCCAACCCACTCTGTCCTGGGCCTTCTTTTCTAGTTCCATCCAATTCTTGTTCATTTTTCTCATATCTATCTCCATTTCTCGGCGTAATGTATTCTTTGGTCTTCCTCTCTTCCTTCGACCTTGAGGATTCCATATGAGGGCTTGTCTTGTGACGCAGTTCGGTGCTTTCCTCAATGTGTGTCCTATCCACTTCCAGCGCTTCTTCCTGATTTCTTCCTCCACTGGGATCTGATTTGCTCTCCCACAGTAGGTTGTTGCTAATAGTGTCCGGCCAACGGATCCGAAGTATTTTGCGTAGACAACTGTTAATAAACACCTGTATCTTTTGGACGATGGATTTCGTAGTTTTCCAGGTTTCCGCCCCATACAGTAGAACTGTCTTCACATTTGTATTGAAAATTCTGACTTTGGTGTTGGTTGCTAATTGTTTTGAGTCCCAGATATTCTTCAGTTGTAAATATGCTGCTCTTGCTTTGCCAATCCGTGCCTTCACATCTGCATCAGATCCACCGTGTTCATCGATGATACTGCCCAAATATGTAAAGGTTTTTACATCTTCCAAAGCTTCTCCGTCAATTGTGATTGAATTGGTGCATGCTGTGTTGTATCGAAGAATCTTGCTTTCCCCTTTGTGTATATTGAGACCTATTGCTGCTGAGGCTGCAGCTACACTGGTTGTCTTCTCCTGCATTTGTTGTTGCGTATGCGATAGAAGAGCCAGATCATCTGCGAAGTCTAGATCATCCAATTGCATCCTAGCTATCCACTGTATCCCGTGCTTCCCTTCAGATGTTGATGTCTTCATGATCCAGTCGATCACCAGGAGAAAGAGAAAGGGTGAGAGTAAGCAACCTTGCCTGACACCGGTCTTTACTTCGAACGACTTTGTCAACTGTCCTCCATGAACGATCTTGCAGTTTAATCCATCATAGGAATTCTGTATGATATTGACTATCTTCTGAGGCACGCCGTAGTGTCGAAGAAGCTTCCATAGGGTTGTTCTGTCCACGCTATCAAATGCTTTTTCGTAGTCGATGAAGTTGATATAGAGTGATGAATTCCATTCAATTGATTGTTCTACAATGATCCGTAGAGTTGCGATTTGGTCTGTGCACGATCTATCCTTACGGAATCCTGCCTGTTGGTCTCGAAGTTGTGCGTCTACACAGTCCTTCATCCTGTTTAACAATACCCTGTTGAAGACTTTTCCTGGTATTGAAAGAAGAGTGATTCCCCTGTAGTTGTCACAGTTGCTGAGATCGCCTTTCTTTGATATTTTGACTAGAAGTCCTTCTTTCCAGTCTTTTGGTACCTGTTCCTCATCCCAGATCTTTCTGAAGAGAGTTTGGAGTATCCTTGCAGTTGCCGCTACGTCTGCTTTCAGTGCCTCTGCTGGAATGTTGTCTGGTCCTGCTGCTTTACCACTCTTGATTTGTCTGATAGCCATGCTGATTTCTTCAATTGTTGGTGGGCCAACATCGATTGGGAGGTCCGTGAGTGCTGCTTCAATGTTGGGTGGGTTCAGTGGAGCTGGTCGATTCAACAGTTCTTTGAAGTGTTCTATCCACCTGTTTCGTTGTTCTTCAATGTTGGTGATTACCTTGCCTTCCTTGCTTTTCACTGGCCGTTCTGGTTTACGGTGATTTCCAGAGAGTTTCTTTGTTGTGTCATAAAGTTGTCTCATGTTTCCTTCTCTGGCAGCCTTTTCCGCCGTCAATGCCAAATCTTCGACATATTTACGTTTGTCAGTTCTGATGCTCCTTTTCACTTGCTTGTTTACTTCTGTGTATTCAGCCTGTGCCTTGGCTTTTTCTGCTCTTGTTCGACTGGTATTGATTGCAGCCTTCTTGTCCCTCCTTTCTTGAATCTTATCCAGTGTATCGATCGTGATCCAATCCTTGTGATGATGCTTCTTTTGGCCCAGAACCTCATGACATGTTGAAGTGATTGCCTCTTTTATCTCTTTCCAGTTGCTCTCCATAGTGGTTCCTTCTCCATTGAGTAGATCATGAAAGGCTTGGAACTTATTGCTGAGGGTTATCTTGAATTTATTGAGTTTGTCATTATCCCGAAGAAGAGCCGTATTAAATTTTTGTGATATTGTCCTCCCCGTTGTCCAGTGCCTCTTGAGTTTCAATTTCATCTTGGCGACCAGCAAGTGATGATCTGATGCTATATCAGCTCCTCTCTTTGTTCTCACGTCCTCCATCGTCCTCCTGAACTTTTTGTTGATGCAGATATGGTCGATTTGGTTCTGTGTGCTGTGATCCGGTGAAGTCCATGTGGTTTTGTGTATGCGTTTATGTGGGAATATAGTCCCGCCTATGACCGGTTTATTGAAGGCACATAGATTTGCAAATCTCTCACCATTTTCGTTCCTTTCTCCCAGTCCGTGTCGTCCCATGATCTCTTCATATCCGGTGTTGTCAATTCCAACCTTGGCATTTAGGTCTCCCATCAGAATAGTCAGGTCTTTTGTTGGGCACTTCTCGACGATTGACTGCAGCCTATCGTGGAATTGATCTTTAGCGTCTTCATTGTAGTCATTGGTAGGCGCGTAGCATTGGATGACGTTCATTGTAATCCCCGTTTTCTTTGTTTTGAAGGAGGCTTTGATGATCCTTGGTCCATGAGATTCCCATCCTATAAGTGCATTTTGTGCTTGTTTGGACAGCATCAATTCAACTCCTTGTGTATGTGGGGCATTTTCTTCTTCATGTCCGGAGTATAACAGCAGCTCCCCTGAAGCTAGTCGTTGTTGTCCAACTTGCGTCCAATGTGTTTCACTGATCCCAAGCACCTCTAGATTGTATCTCCTCATTTCTGCAGCAATTTGGAAAACTCTCCCAGTCTCCCACATTGTGCGAGCATTCCATGTACCTAAATAAATGGTTGCTCTGGTTGTCAGAAGGGGCATCGGCCTCGTGACTTCCGAAGAAACTCAGCTTTCATCATGAGGCGTCATAATTCTTCTAAACGAAGACCTCCTGACTTCCAGGGCAGAGTTTAAATGGTTTGAATAATTTTTTCTGGTTAGCGTTTTTTTAGCGAGTTAGTTTTCTACGGGATGGGGTCGCTAACCCCATGCCCAACCCTCCTCCTTTATCCGGGCTTGGGACCGGCAGTAGCCCCCGGAAAGGGACTCCAGGCGGAGTTGACGCATTGGAATAGTTTAGCTTATCTTGTCATTGTGTTGCCGATCCTTCATTCCGTTCACCGATTTTATGTGAGCCGGTAATTTCTTCAGACAGCAGAACCATCCATCACATAGTAATTTCGGGAGGTTAAGTGTTAGAGCATGAGACGGATAGTCCTAGGTTCGACCCCGATGATGAGGTCGTGAATGAGCACTACCTGGGAATCTTATGCTGGGATGAAAGAGCTATCCAGCGACCCCTATTTCGTAATGAAAGTTTGATTGAGATCTGTTCGAGATACCAATAATACTCAGTATTTTACGCAAATCTCTATACTGAAATATGTTTCACTTAAAATGTGTCATAGTTGACCAAACACGAATGTTAACCTGATGGCGGTGAAAAATTGGCACAGTGTTATCACCTAAGTATATATTCTTTCTGTTGCACAAACAGATAAATGTTCAATTTCCATGTCGATGCTTTAGTGATAAAAGTACGAGATTTCCTGTATTCATAATGGATATGAAATAAAGATTGTAATGATCCAGTAATCTATTTCTACATTTCATAGTTATACTTTATGCTGAAGCACTTTAAAAAGCGGTCTATCAAATCTTCTACAAATCTAGTATTTAATGTTCTTGAATTCTAATGATTGATTTTTAGAATACACACAAATAGACGAAAATGACCTCATTTTATGATTGGTTGATAATTTATATTGTCTAATATTGGTTTGACTAAATCACGTTGTGCCACCTACTACATATTGAGCTTAATCATAAATAAACAAATATAGATATCTATATATAAGCGCGATGCATTTGTATATATTCACCATTCAAACATAGCTCATTGAGAGGTTAGTTTATTGACTGAATTATTGATTTTAATGAATTGACTTTTCTTACACAAAATACCTTGCGTTTGTAAACCCTGTCGTATTACACCATTGAGTTAACTGCTTATATGAATCCGGTGTTCGTCTTGCTGTGCTAATGTGGTGTAGCAGCTTGGACCGATGCATGTATGTGCCTGGTCCTACGTTGTGACTGACTGACTGTATAATATGATTTGTAATAGGTTTCCGGAGTGATGATTGAGTTACATTTAAAAACCTTCAAAGATAAAAAACTAGATTTATTAGAGAGTACAATACTATTATGAAACATAATGTAAAACATTAGAACGTATTTTTGCGCCAATTGCACCGACTCAAGTCCAGCTAAACAAACACTGGGTCCTTCAGATTTATTAAATACTAAAAAATTGAACAAGTTGAGTGTTAGAAAAATAGCGAATAATTGTATTAAGCTGGAGTACTCGGACTTAACAAAAATAGTCAAAAATATTGACAAGTCATTCAAAGTATATAATGATTCCAACAGTAACTCACAGAAGTAAGATTAGACAACAAAAAGAATGGCAAGAATTATGCTGTAGGAACAAGAAAAATAGATTTAAATAAAATGCTGAAATAAGAATATTCATGAATGATGTAACCTTACATAGAAAACTTGTGAAGTTCATGAAGCTCTTTCCCAATAAGTAAGAATTCTCAACGTTTTGTATTTACGATTTTTCTGTTAGTCACCTATTACTTATTTCCTGTAAATCCTGAATGATGTCTGGCTCTGTGAACTTAGTTAAGATCAAAAATTTCATTAATATTATTAGTAACAGTAAATTCATTTATGTATTTAAAAAATCAACCACAAACAATAAGAAAAGTAGTTCAAATTTAAGTACCTCCCTTGTAATAGTGGTAGGATCGTGATATTTAGCTGGTCGAAAGTCCCAACAAATAAATCTGACTTATAAAGATTCAATAATCTATTTCTTAAAAAAAATAATTTCATTCTATGCATTTTATTTACATGCCTAAGAATGTGGCCGCAGTCTGGACAACGACAAGTACATCTATCATGGTTACCCGCTTACGCTAAACAAACCCCTCCACCACATGCTGTTGAAGCTGAAGTTAATATCTATGTTATTCGTGGTAGAGTTAATAATGATGTGATACCTGGAAAATGGCCCATAAATCTTGGTAAAGGTTATGTATCATATGATGGAAAAGAATTTGAATTGGATAGCTTCGAAGTGTTGTGCAATACAAGTTTAAAGCCAACAGAACACTTGTAAGTTATTGAAAGTAACTTTTACCATTTAAGTAAAGAATTTCGAATATGTGTCCAACTCATTTGATTTTGTCGTTTAAGATAAGGTGATTCATGGACCCAGTTGAATCATCAAGCCATGGACTGATAGTCTTACATTTCATCAGTGAATACGAGAGACCAATTTGATAAAATTTTAACCAAAATGCTTATAACTACACACAAATAAGTCAGATTGGAAACTCTCAATTCACTCAATAAGACTCCTTCAACTAAGAATTCTTTTTGATTAACACCCGAAGTTATAGGAATAAGCCATTTATGATGGTATTTAATATAATTACCATCAAGCACATCACGGAAAGACATTACTATTAAATTCTGATATGATCAGTTGGTCTAAACAGCTGAACTACAAATATAGATCGGTGTTGAATCAGTCGGTCACTTAAGAACTGTTCCCTTTATGCATGTATTAATATTTGTTGACATCAAGCCAAATATGGAATTCACACAGCATTAACTTAATAACACAATCACATCATACTTGTGTGTATCTATTTATATAAATAGATGTAGACGGAATGTATTAACTTGATAATCCTTTCAAGTATCTTGATATTTGTTACGAAAAATCATTAGTTAAAGTTGACCAAGATTAGTGAAATATCTGCTGAGAATATATGAATTATTCATAATTTAATCAAATAAGAATCGGGTACACTGATGAGAATTTATTTGGATGATTTAGTGTGTCTTGTATCGGTTGATTTATTTAACGTAGATTATGCATGATGATGTTATATAGAGTGACTGAATTGTTTGTCATCGCACTAACTTTAATGCGCCTCAGTTGAAATCTGATTGGTATTTATGTTAAGTTTAGAGAACAATACGATGAATATTGTGCAGTATTATCAAAGCAGATAAGGTATCAGATCTAAATATTCGCTTGATCGACCTATACAAATACTTAGACTGTGTACACTGAGTATCTGAGGCTTCCAGGATTCCAATGCTTGTCTAATCAGTGTTACTCGGTGATGTAAAACTCCGAAATATTGCATAAATTTATTAACATTTACAATTGACTGCATTCGTTACTTAATATTACACGTCGTGACTAGCTTAGAATGACACCCATTTCGAAACTACTCAGTATTTAATCGATAGTCAGTGTTCTATGTTAATGTACTCATCAAAACTCTACAGTTGTTATTTCGAACTGATTGTTTTTGTGATAAGCGTGTGAATTGATCTTGACAGAGATGGAAAAATAATCGAATCAAAATGATCTTCATTTTACAAACAGATTCCCACTTTTGCTTACTAACTGCCTTCATATTCAGAATGCGACAATTGAGAGTTACCACAACCATTTTGTACAGTTATCCAAGTGTTTTTCTTGAGTAACCATTTTCTATCGGATTCTTTCACTTTCCCATATTCAATTCTGCAGTTTGAAAACAAATTCCATTCACTGACGACATGCCATTCGAAATATTTATAAGCATTTACATAAATAATATTTTTTCTCCATTGTTCATTCATCTAGATATGGATGGGTTTCACATACTGGAGGCAACGTGCCAAACAACGCATTACATGCTGGTGAAACCCAATCATCCGAACCTTTATACATAGCTCGTAGATTAGTGAATAATGAGATGTGTGTTGGTAAAGTCCATCCATCACATGGTTGCGCATATTTTCCATGGGGTGGTGAGGAACATTCGGAGAAGAGTTATGAAGTACTGTGTTATCTAGATTGATGATATGAACATATGAAAGGAATTATTATATTTCTATAATTTGACGAACGTCAGAACGTGTATGAAAAGACAAAAATAGATTATACCAGTTACCTCGAATTATGAACTCATTGATTCTATATTTGATATGTCATATAATCATAATTCAGATATATTATTTTTCTTTTTACTTGTTACCGTTCTGAACAGTTTCAGAATACCTTCATGGGTGATATCCTTTTCAAATCATTCTCTCGGACGTACAGAATGAGTTACTGTTGTCTTTGCTGCTGTTGCTGCCCACCATTTGTCGTTTATGAAGTTTAGCCAGTTTTACTTTTAAATGAAATTCATCGATAGAAAGACTGTAGTTAAGGCCGGTTAACAAAATTTACTGACGTTTGAAATTCGTCGTTTAGGTTGCCATTATCTCTTTATCGAATTGAAATGATTGCGAGAAACACTCACATTGATCGTCTGTCTGGTTAACGGTTCATACATTACCACGTTGCTCAAGATGGACATGTCAACCAACGTACATCAACCAAATGGATCCACTAATCCTTTAGGTTTTTAGTTCGTACCGTTTACGAGTTCATTAACAGCGAAGAAAACTATCTATTACACCCTGCCTTTCAATAGTACTCCCAATTGTGACAAATGAAATCTAAGATCATTGAGATCTTCTACTGACAACGACAGTTTTCCAGTCGTGGGTACATGTTGACTGTTTGTTTGAATGGACTAACCTCAACTCCATCAAAATAATCCACTTGAGCTACAAATCTTCAGCATCTCAATCTGCAGTTCCTCACAACAGTAACATGGAATGGATTCGACAAAAAAAACACCATCTAGTAGTAACCTCCTTATCATATCTTCATCGAAATAAACAAATATTTCATCCGATGGTCAACACACTTCTTTGAAATGTCTCTCACCAAATAATCACATTTCCGAACTTACATCCCAAATTCTTTTCGCCGATCTGATAGAAAAACTAGGTAGAAGTACAGTAATAATGAGGACCCAGAGCAATTTATCTGCTAACCAACGAACGCTGCATTGTTACAATACAATTAACAATAAAAAACCAATGAAGTAACGGTGGAATACTAGATTTTCCAATAATAATTAACCCTCACATACTAAATGATTCTTTGTAGTAAAGGAGAATGGTCAAGTTCACATGTCAGGGTTCGAAATAGTATTGTGAGTTAGGATTATCAACGCGTTGAGTTATCATCACCACATGACATCGGTTATAATTCGACAAGTATTAACACAACAGGTATAAACACAAATAAACTGGAGGATTACGTCGAAGGATCCAACCGAAATACAATATCATTTAAAATAAGAAGAATGAGTTTTGCATGATAACATGTATTTATTACATTTCAAAGCATCTCGTCATCTGCAAACTACCTAAATTTTATATCAGTAATATTAGTACAAAATGTTTCACATACCATAATCAATGAAGTTGAGTTCGAAACGATATAAGAAATCAGATGGAACATTATGCTAAGCGATCACGCACAAGATCGATACGTCCTGGATTAGAATCTCGAGATTTGGGATGGCACATGCACACTGCTGAGGACTCCCACAGCAGACCGAAAAAGCCGTCCAGTGCTTCTACGTTTTCTATCGTGATCTAGCTACGATTGACTCACGGTCTCAACTACTAAGATTAAACACAAGATTATTCCATTCGAATATGGATAATCACTGTATTCATCAGTTGTTCAAATGATCGTATTCAGGTTTGTATTGAATAGTTGTTCTATCCAGTGATCATGCGTATTTGAAGAACACACATTAAATGTTCAGTCATCGTGAAATGAGAGATGAAAGCGTAATTTGGTGATCATTGAACACGATAGTTAACCTCAATCAACATACACAAATATGTTAATGATATAGAAATACCTTGACAGTTTACTAACTCAGCATAGAATATCTGTGAATATTTCTAGTCTACAACATTATTGATGAATCCGATTTGTTCAGTTTTATCATTAGTCTATTGCTAAAATAAACCACAAAGTGAAAACAAACAATCAGTCAAGGTCACATATTTCAAGTGAAATATTCATATCATTGATCAATATGATTGTACTAAATCAATCAACACTCTGGATTAGTAAAATCAATGAATTGTGAGTGTGCGTGACATAGAAATCTGATTCAACTGCTACGATTCACAGTTGACAACTTGTTCAAATATATCATCAAGTGAAGTTCATTTAAATATTTGGGAGTAAAACAATATTGTGAACAATAATTGTGGAGATCAATAATGTAGAACTTGAGTTTTTAAACCAAGAATACAACAAGGTAATATCTGAATGGAAAATAATAGAGTGATATAAGTGAATCAGTTCAATATCGAACTCTTATCAAGTAGTTGAGACACATAACAGAGAATAGTCTATTCGGAGCATGATCGAGAGCACTCAGTCAGTATTATGAACTAGGAGGTTGCATGATATCACTTTATACTTACTGGATTATTTAAATATATCAATAGCCAATTGTTTACTGAATAACGTATTTGTGACATTTCCGATGGTGAAGTCATGTGACCGGGATTGGAAGGTGTAAGTAAATTCGACTCTCAACCATTTAACGTGTCAGCCATGCACACGAACAACAGTAAACATGAATATCTTCAACCAGTAAATCAAATAAATGATAATGTTTTATTGATCAAGCTACACCTAAATTGACAAGACTCGTTCGGAACCGTGAAACTAGCAGTCTGATATCGATCAATCCTCATTACTGAATTGTTGCGCATCAAATTAAAATCGCGTAAACTGCTAAGGCATCAACGATAATAATCGAATTTTATTAGAAAATCTGAGATCCCTTCTCATATGGTTAATATCATATGTAACGATTTTGTCTGAATTTTATAATTATCCATATTAAACCTATTAGAAAGATGTCTAGTCTGATTGCCATATTCATTAGTTAATACACAGATTACAACAATAAGCAAAGTAATTCAAACCAAGTGACATAGAAACTGAATATCAAATATCATAAGACATCAATATGATCTAATTGGGAGAATCCTGTTAAATTAAAATGAGGGATTATGACAGCTAATGTTAAACCAGTCTACTGGAAATTATTTTATGTATTTTTACTGTGTATTTTCCAGTGACTATCTTCGAGATGAAATCTCCAGAATTTTAGTGTGAAGTCGTAATCAACAGGGCCGGATGAGACAGTTAGACAATATTCGTAGTTTAGTTTTCATTTAGTTTTTCGTGATAAAATCGATTATTCTGGACGGCTGTATATGATTTACATTGGTTTGTTAAATTGAGGTTTTGATTTTATTGATTGTCATAGACAATGTGAAATGTACGCCAACTGTAAGTACGACTTTAAAAAAACCATGCATTTTTCCTTAAGTAGTCCAACAACAATGTCATTTAGTTAATATTGTTTTTTTAATCAACATAAATGAGTTTTTGAGTTGTAAACTCCCCAGTGAGAAATTAAGCTGCATGCAATCGAAGGCAGACAGACATCATTTACATAGAGCCTGTAATAAATGTGCATTGCCCCAAGTTCCCATAAAATATTATCACTTCGAGATGACAATAACAAGCTGAATTGTAAAATGTATCGGAATTGTTTAGCAATAATTCTATAAAGAACGGTTGAGCATTTCAAATCATGTTTGAAAAGACAGTGTATAGAGATATTCATGAAAGGATACTGAAGTTCAAGATCTAGAGGAAGAATGAACGCACCTTCATCACTGAGTTATGACAGTTTAAGTCTCCAACAAGCAATCGCAGCTATCACGCGGACCCCAAATGGGTCGTATTTGTATTCCGTAGTGAATCAGACCTACAGTTTATGACTCCATGAACTGATCCCACACCATATTTATGTTCCCGGTAGCTTTCTTAAAGAGTATTTCTACAACAAATACATCGATGTTGAGAGTGGGTAGTTATGTGTTGCACATGTTCCAACCACCTGAGTCAATCAAGATTTACAATCTCATCAAACAGTTTGCCACCATTATTTTATCTTAAGTTTCCTCACTTAGTAGCTCCACGGAACGAGAGTAATGCTTCGCTGAAATCTACGGTCAAAATACCTCAGCTTACTTCTAGCTCCTGCTTTCAGAGACTATGTATCAAAGCCATAAACTAATGAACAACTGACTGATGAGCAGGACACATGTCCTTCTGTTGGCAGACGGACATTGCACCTATGCCATAAGTGAAGGATAGCGGAAACCAAACGAACTTTCTGAATGTGGGCCGAGATTTTGTCCGAAACCAATTTAGTTGGACTGATAAGACCTTTAGGATAATTGGGATGGTCGCTGTGGTCGAGTATTTTACTCCCTATCATCGGTTAAGGTGTTGAAACAACCTAGTCATGAACATTTTAAGTTTAGACTGCTTATATTTTTGTTTAAGATGTTTAACAGATTGCATTGTCAGTGTCTTCAGCAATTAGGAACATGTGATCTGCGTATTCCTAGTCAACAAGTGAACATTCCTGTAAATTTGGATGAACGGAGTGTTATTTCTAGGAGATCTATAACGAAACTAAGTAAAGATAGAAAGGAGGCTTGGTGATCACCACATGATGTTGAAAATTATGGAGACAGTTCATCGCGAGCTTCTACTCGATCAAAAGTGCTAGATAAGAGAGCCTTCACAAGATTTATGGACTTCCTTGATTAACATGGACACAATCTCTCGGTCAACTGAGTTGAATACTACCTTAAGATCAATGTTACAATTATAGTATGTCTGTGTTCTAAAGCCTGAATAAGAGTGAATATTTAGCCAACACACATGCTAGCAGGTCAGGAACAGCCTGATTTCCCCGAGTTTGCTCATAACGATCCATAACCGCAGCAAATGCGTCGGAAATAAATGAAATTCAGTCGAGTGTAAAACAGAAATAATTGAAACACTCTACATATATACTACTGATAACTAATCCAGTAGTTCATATTGAATTATAAAGGTTCAATACAAGCGATAGTGACTGAATACATTTCACCTGACAATATTGTGGTTTCCTAGAAATTGTCAGATTTTATGATCTTTATCACAAACTGGTCTTAGTCTAGGAAATCAATCAAAACTAAGGAATAACAGACAGTCGTTATTTCTAAAATAGGGCTCCTCAGAAATGAGTATCCACCATCCACTGGCATCAAACCAAAGGCCACCAGGTTCTGATGACAGCGTTCAATAGGTA